TACATACATACATACATACATACATACTGGGTATACCAAAGTCAGGCCACATAGACAATTTACTATATAAATTACATTAAATGTTTGGATCGGTTGCCATTTTCTTTTAAACACTTGCTTACTCATTTGTCGGATGACCTCTGAACACTCCTAGGTACAGTAATATTTTCTCTAAAAAAATATTAACAAAATTAATAAAATGCATTTCAATTGGTCTATGGGAATCTGACTTTTGGTACATCTTTGTGTGTGTGTATGTGTGTGTGTGTGTCTGAATATATTCTCATTCTAGGACATAAACAATAATAAAATGCAAAGTTTTGTTACCATCTCATGTATTTGTCTCAATAAATACAGTTAAAGTGGTACAGAGGCAGACAATGGGTATAATTTCTGTTCAGACAAAAAAGTGCCATTATGAAAAACAAAACTGCTTTTTACATGCATGCTCACCAGAAATTTTTGTTGTTATTTATAGCCATTTTCTCATGTAACATGTAAATGAAACGGCTATTAGAAAGAAAAGAAGTGGAAAAGAAATCCTTAGCTTATTGAATGATGTGGAAATAGCTGCTCTTCAGATAACATAACGAGATTTCAAAAATGCAACTGTGTTGTTGAAGCACAGTAACATTTTGATGAATTGTTTTGGTGGTTTTTAATGGAAATAACTGCACAGGAATATACAATAGCTGCTTCTTTCACTGTCCTTGATGGGCAGTAGAAAACTGTTGTAAATTGGCAGCCTTCCAATCAAGTTAAATGTATTATTCACATTTGACTTTGGGAGGCTGTTAGCCAAGGTAAGTCATTTGGATTTATGACAGCTATTCAGCAATGAGGTGAAGTATGAACTTGTCTTGACACGTAGTTCACCTGGAGAATTGCAGAGCACAATGCAGTGCTTCTGCAGAATTAACCTTTTTTTTTTTTTTTTTGTGGCCAGGACCATCTTATTCTTTCCCATGAAAAGTTAATGAAACAAAAACAATGGCTATAAGATAGGTTGATGAAAGGTTAAGTACACGTAAAAATTAACCAATCAGGCCCTTTTGCAAGAAAGATGACCATGTATGTTACTAGAAATACACACTTCCACCTGTCTGCATGTCTCACAGGGATAATGAGGCCAAGGAAGCTTGGTTAATTGGAAGAGACAGCTATTCATGGTAGAGATATGTATTAAAGAAGGTAAAAAGATTAATATTCTAAATTAGGGATAAATAACCCATATCACTTAATGCTCCCTGCCCCCAAGCTTTGGGTGCGGTCCTTAGAGTTTCTCCAAAAATTGTTGCTGAACTGTAACTTTGGATACACTTTGTTGTTGTTCAGTCATTAAGTCGTGTCCGACTCTTCATGACCCTGTGAACCATATCGCGCCAGGCCTTCCTGTCCTTCACTGCCTCCCTGAGTTTGCTCAGCTTCATGGTCATTGCTTCAGTGCTGCTATCTAACCATCTTGTCCTCTGCCGTCCCCTTCTCCTTTTCCTTCACTGTTTCCCAGCATCAGGGTCTTTTCCAAAGAGTCCTCTCTTCACAT